TTTTGTTCGCTTGGAATTTTTCAATGACTTCGAGGTTTAAATCGCAAATATAGAAGCAAACAGAACACTGATAAGTCGACGTCGTGACTTTTTATAGACCACAACAGCAGGGACCTTCACAAACCACAACGGTAGCGAAAACGTAGCAAAACAGGGGGTTTAATGAGTCGAACAACTGTTCTGCACACGTTATAAATCTTTATACACTTCCTAGCCAACCTACGCAAAACAAACAAGTACACCACGGGGGCATTATTTTTATAAAAGGCTCTCTTGACGAATTCAACTGTAGCTAGTATTTATCGAGATAAAAGTGGAAAGATTCTAAAGTATTTCCACATTCGACTGCGCGTCGCAGTCATCCTTGCGTGAGATGTCCAACTCGCTGGGCGTTAAATAGGAAAATTGCGAATTTGCATGATTTCCGAAAAAGAGGACAACCTCGTGAGGTATACCCAAATTTTTGAAAATTTTTTCCTGGAAATTTCTGTTCCAGTTGATTTCCATCTCGGAATTTTCGGAATTTTCGGTTGAATGGTTCGTTTTTCGGAAATTCAACAATTTCCAGATTTTCTGGAACCTATCCCAGGAAATTTCCGTACCATTTGTCCCCATTTCGAAAATTTCGGAATTTTTGGTCGAATGGAAAGCGCCCTAAATATGCTCTAGTGTCATGTGACAACCATACATGTATAATCGTACACTTTGTGCTTATAATCAAGGATTCAAAGTGTTCGGTGGTATTTTAAAATCTTAACAGATCACCTCTGGCGTAACAACGAACAATGGTCTTTACAGTAGAAATAAAACGGTGCTTTTATATCACAAATCATAATAACGTTTCCATATAACGCGCGCTCTGATTGGCTGAAACGGCGTGCTTTATCAGAGAACAGATGCACGGTAAGTTGCATTTCAAATTTTTGCTTCGGATTTTTTTACAAATTCGACCCGAATTAAACTTTTCCTGTGATCCAAACTAAAGTTTGGTTTGAAAATATTAGCTAAATGTGTGGGGGAAAAATGAATTCTTTATTATAAAACAAAGAAAGGTGTGCTCTGCTCTGTTGTAAAGCACGCAGGAAGCGGTAGAGTGAGGGGAAACACGAGACGTAGTCGAGTGTTTCTCCCTACTACAGTCGAGGCTTCTTTATTTGTTAGTTACTGATTACACGACAAGATACGGGTACGCTAAGTTATACCTCTTAAGCCGATTCTTTTGATGGACTCTGTATTCTATTCAATAGGAATTTTCAGCTACAATCCATTATTCGAATATTTAACGATCGATACAGGAAACAAAACAAGGACCCCGTCTATCAAGGTAACTTCAGGTAGTTTCCAAGGAAACCTCGTGAAAAATCATGTTGGCTGCTCAATCGAACGTGAATTCATCCACAATGGATCAGTTTGGAAATATCAGGTCGCTCGCTTCAAGTTTGAGAGCAACATTAATATACGAAGTCATATTCGGCTCACAGGAACTAACGCTCTCTCGCTAGTCGGAGAGAACATTTCTATAGAGACAAACGGAAAGCTGCAAATTGAACCAAACGCCATGCACCCACGTTACGGAGATCCAAGATTTGTTGGAGGTTTCGTCGCAAAAAGTGGCGGAAATGGTCAGTACACAAACGCTTTTTGTTGTCTTTGTAAATACCTACGTAGCATTGTGGTATCTTCATTTTGAAATTGCCCAAGACCCATAAAAAAGTGTATCAGTTGATTTCGTCGTGACAGATCCAAAATTGTCCAGCATATTTGTTGATTTCACTGGTTGGAAAAAGACTTCATTTGTTTTTTTAATGCTTTGGAGTACTAAAATCAACGTTGACGTTGTGTACAAGAAGAATTTGCCAGTGAGTAATATTTGGTAACACAACAGGTTGGATGATTTCATCACTGACTCAAATCAATATATTAAATTTAACGCATTCTCTGAAGTACGGTTTCCTCTCTGACTGCCAACAGGGGAAGGCTGAAAGAAAAACCCTACATCCTTTTTGCCTTCTTTTCTAAAAGGATACACGGAATTCTTCTACAAGTAGTCTGACCTTTTGATTCTAATTTTTCCATTCAGCTATTGGCCGGGCACCAAATTACTTTAGAAACAGAAGGAGCATTAACTATTTTGAAGAGGTTTCAATGATCTTTTAGGGCACGGGACAGTTTGTTCGCAATTCATCACTTTCTGATCATTAAGGCCATATTAACTTGTCATGCAGGATTTCATTATGGTGGACCTGGCCAAGGTATTCGTATCAATGGAGAGTTTGGAGGGGCTGGGCATGGTGGTCACGGAGGAGGAGACAGCAGCTTATCTAATGGCAATTCATATGGTCTTACTGATGCAGACCTCTATCTCGGTGGAAGCACAGGTATAAATGAGAGTCTCACCTCGTCGGTCCTCGTCTTTATGCGCGATAATCGTGTTCGTTACTAACCGTTATTTAGCATTCCTGTCTCATTGCAGACCGGACGACCACCACTTAGTAGATCTGACAATATTACTGCATTACATAGTTGCCACATAGTATCGAATAATCACTAGTTGTCACGGCATACGTTCCTAGTTTGCCTTCCACAAACAACGTCCGAAAATGGCCCGCTTTTTCCCTAACAAGGAACTGTTTTATTTCCGTTCTTAATTTTAAGAGGACATACTATAGATTCATCGCAGTTGAATCATTATCGAAGTTGCATAAGAGGCAACATTTTGACAGGAGTGAAATATCGCCTAATTAAATGCGCATAGACCTTTCTAAATTTTTCGTCAGTGAATTAAAAGTTAAGTTTTCGTATCTCTCCTTCATTCATTCATTCATTCATTCATTCATTTCCTATTGTCTCAAGGAGCTTTTACGGGATCAAAACTACCAGGTGTAGGGGGAGCAGCAATAGAACTAGAAGCGAGTGGGAAAATAGAGATACGTAAGTACACTCTAGCTATTTCAACACAATGCTTAATTAATCTCAATTAGTACAGTATATGTTACCTGTTCTGTGTGTTCCTTGAACAAAGCATCTTTTAGTCTTAGATCTTTCCTCTCGCATCAGGTGGTACTATAGATGCAAATGCTCTACCAAGGCCAAACAATGCATTAAACAGCAACGAGATGACCGCAGGGAATTCAGGAGGTTTAATAAGACTTCTGGCTGAAAGGGTAAGAATGCAAACGTATTGTGAGGTCGTTATACGTGATGTACTCATAACCAGCTAATGATCTAAACTATATCGCTTTGTTTATCAATAGTCAATTTCTTGTATGAGACGTCCCTGCAGGGAATATAATCCTGGTAGTTGTATTCGTCATCTTGGACTGGATGTTGGTTTTGACGAGTACGGCTACCATGATTCCCTGTAGGCGCGTCGAGCTGACTATCGCTCGTGTAGGGCAATAACTTCAGCGTGTTTAGTAGAGACTCTTAAATGGTCACGGTCCCAAACCTAGCCCAAAGCTCCAAAGTTTTTACTTTATATTCAGTGAACGTTTTTTATAAATTTTAAATATATTCTGTCCTGGCTACGGTTCCTCTATTTTTAAACTTTTTTTGTAACTCGAAAATCAAGAAAAGTTGTTCCGTCCAAGATGCGGTCGTACTCTATCAGAGAAAAGACACTAACGGAAGACTCGCAGATCCGCAGATTTCCAATAGAACATGCTGATAAGCGAGTCGGTCTTTTAACAGGTTAATATCTCACAAGGAGCAAGGATATCTGTCAAGGGAAATAAAGAATCATGTGGAAATCTCAGCAACTGTAAGGCCGGTGGTGGAAGTGGAGGGATTGTCCAAATCATATCAAGATCTGGTTTTATGGCCCGTCACGTCATCAGTTTAGGCGGTCAAAGCGGTGGCCACAGAGACCCACCAGAGAATGGATTTCTGTACATAAAGGGTGAGAAAAATAGCACTACACAAGAAAAAGATTTGTAACGTTAACCGAATTTCCCAGAATAAGAATTATAGAAGTTAACACAGTTCATTGCTGACCGATCTAAAGATGTTTCCATCCGATTTTGGTGACTTCTGTGACTAGGACAAAACATCAAAGAGGGTCAAATCTTTCAAAATCTATTTCTAGTGCTGTAATTCAAGTTAACATTTTTTCTGCTGTTTCATATTCATCAATCCCATCAGCTACTCAGAAAGTCCAATACGTACCTTTCATTTGTAGGTGTCAAAGACGGAACGTTTAACACATTTCCTAACGCACCGTTCTCCTGGGACCAAAGTCATTTTTCAATAAGAATGCGGCCCTCTTCTACCATGGCAACCATCCAGCAAAGCGCACTCAAGAGCCAATTGCCTGCACCTACTTCTCGAAGAGAAGTAGGTGATACCGCTACTTCAACAGTATTACTGATTCCCACATCGATGCCATCTTACTACGGAGCAACATTAAACATAACAACAAGCTTTGTACAACAAAGTCCAGGGGTCCCCAGCTCACAACAGCTTTCTCCAACTCGTAAAGTAAGCAGTCCATTACTGCATAATCCACATGCTACATTCTCAGACACTGAAGGTAGGTAGATGAAACAAAGCTAGTCTTGACGAAGTAA